AACACATATAACGATCCAAACCATTAAATCTATTCTGAATGCTATTAACTTCATAGTACGGACCTGGATTACGCCGAAATCGAATCGATAGCTCGAACGGAAGACAAATCAACGAAATCAACCGAACGGGTCAAATCGAGTCAAAATACGAAATCGACCAATCAATCCGGCGTGGAGGTTAATCTGCCGGCGATATCAATTCGGGGCAGCGGCCGGATGCGGCGACGGTGACGGACGCCGGCAACAGTGGCGTAGCGGCAGCTCGACGGCGATGAGCAGCGACTGGCGGCGCTGCACTCGACGGCGGCGCTGCACTCGACGGCGGCGGGTGGCCGCTGTGCAAAGGGCGACGGCGGCTGGAAGCTCGATTCCGGCGAAGGCGAAGCAGCGGCTGGAAGCTCGGCGACGGCGGCTGGAGGCTCGGCGACGCTGAGCGGCGGCTACTGGCGAAGGAAGCAGCGGCGGCGCTGCAATCGACGGCGGCGATGAGCGGCCGGCGCTGGCAGTGGAGGCGACGGACTTCCGGCGAAGGATGGGCAGCGACTGGCTTCCGGCGAGGCTCTGGCTTGCGCGACGCCGGCGTGGTCGAACGGTAGAGGACGACCGGCGCTGGCTGCTGCAATTGGACGGCGACGACCGGCGGCTGGCTCACGGCGGCGCTGCACCAGTCGGCGATGATGGCGGCGAGGCTGGGGAAGGCGACGGCGGCTCCAATTGGACGGCGAACGACTGGCTGGACGGCGAAGAAGAAAGAAGAAGAAGGAGAAGAAAAAGAAGAAGAAGAAAAAGAAGAAGAAGAAAAAGGAACGGACGGAGAGTAGAATCGAAGAAGGAGAAGATAAGATAAGGTTTGTGTGGTTTAGGTTTATTTAATGGTCCCATTCCAAAAAAGGATTGGGCTTCGGACCCAAAATACCTGATTAAATGGTCATAACTTGAGTTCCATAACTCCGATTCGCGAGCCGTCTGAACCGACGCGATCACAAAAATATTTCCTACGAGATGACATAAAAGTTGGGCTTAAAATCCAAATTATAATTTTAACCCCTTATTGGGCCCAATTCGTAATCAATTGCTCTAACAAT